CTTGGCTTCGTAGATGTTGATATCCTTTTTAGAACAGTATGGGCATTTTCACCTTTTTACACAATTTTGAAGCCTTTGGAAGTGGATACAAAGAGAACCATGTCTGGAGCAAGTGGGGCAGAGATGGGGTGGAGTCAGGTAATATGAAATAGGGGAGAGACGTTATCTGGGTTTCGATGAGTCTCCTGCGATGACATTATTGTAGTCACGACAAATCCGTATGAGGGTGCCTAATGAAGTTATTCAAGGATTAATTTCACCAAAAGACGACGGTTGACTCCTGTTGTTCTGTGGTCAGTTTAGCACAATTCACAAGACATCCCCCATTGTTTTGGGAATAAAAGGGATGAACTTTCGTTCATCAGGTGTCAGGTATCGTGCGAGCCGAAGCTTATTCTTGAAAATGTCTATAAGTAAAATTAAGGAAGACTAACCGTTTTTGATTACCATATTACATGAAAACTGTGTTCACCTTATTTCGTTTAAGGTGATGAAGGACTGGCAGTTGCATTTTTTCCATATTGATAAGTGTAGGACATAGGTTTGCACTGAAATTCACATTGTTGTTTCCCAAAAAGTATTCTAATTCAGGCTGGATTAGAGTGCAGTTTAGATCTCGCCTAGGACTTATCAGCACCACCAGCAGGGCTTGAATGGTGATAGTGCAGCAGATGATTTCTGCACGCTACCTACTTCGCCAGACTGCCATAAGTTGTTCTCTTTGGTTACAGAGCAGATGTAAATTCCAAGGAAGGCCAGGCATTTTCCCATGTCGCATCCTCTGGTGGGATTATCGATATAGCAAAGTCGCAGTTGATATAATAATAAACAATATTACTTATTTATCACTTTATAAGTGTGCTTGATCAACTCGAAATAAATAGGTTTTACACGATTCTTATATAAAATCTGCTAGTAGTCGTGAAAAATCTGCTTCTGAAACGAGAAATAACATTTTATGTATATTTACAACTAAAAATGAAGATATATATGGATATATTAAGAGAAACTTGCTATCAATGAATATCCTAATATAACAATGTTGCAAAGACTTTCATTTCGTATGAAAGTGTATGAAGAAAAGTTTCGAATTTCGTTCTCACCAGAAGATGACAGCTGAATCCCGTTGTAATGCAGTCGCTTGGCTTTTATGCAACGTTCACGTTGACGTGGTCCACAAGACATACTCCCTCGTTTCGGGTGAAAACGAGCTGAGTTTCATCTATCTTACGATGGAAATCATCTGAGCTGGAACTCATTCTTTTAACTATCTCAAGTTATCACTTGGTCAAGAATGCTATCCGTCTCTATCATAGCTCTCATACAGACTCAATTGAGCAAAAGAAAATTAATAGACATAGCTAGATGGGGGATGGCTTGGCTAATAATTTTTATATTGGTCAAGATAACTTTGCCCTAGCGTATGTGCGTGTTTGTTAACGCCTATACGCAATACCAATCCTAAATCAGAGTGTTCAAAAGGGCTAATGTCAGGCTCTGGTCATCAAGGCTTGATGACCCAAGAGAAAGCCTTGGCCGAGACTTCGTAAGTCCGTAGAGGTTTGAGATGCAAGCCTGTAAGTTTGTAAGTTATGTTATGAAACCAGCTGTCATACTCTCTCATTATAGGGTGATTAAGATTTAACTACCCAAGAAAAGGCATGACTGGGGCTGCGTAATCTGGTTCGTATGTTTTGGCTGATGACCTTACTCTAACACGTTGGACGAGTGTGAGGGAAGTTAGAACTAGCGCTGAGAAGACAAGTTGAGCTGCCTTCTTTTGGATGGCAGCTCAACACCTATCTCCTTTAATCTATTAATTAAGTAAAAGTTGTTCTTACTCTACTTTCTGCTACTATTCCTCAAATTTAACGTATTCCCAAATCTATTAATTTTAGTAGCCTCTAGTATCTTCCCTTGAACAACAGGTGTGTTTGAGTAACTGGGTTTCGATAACTCTTCTGAGGTAAAGTTGTTGGAGAGACTTTTATTTCTCAGAAGATTAATCGAAACCCA